TTAATTTATCCTCAACGACTTTCTACAGATAAATGACTGATGGACTTCCTATTATCTCATCAGAAATTTAATAAGAGGTTTGAATGACTGAAGATTTCTGCGTAAATTCCGGTTGGCCCCAATGTGTATTATTTTAGTCACGTCAAGCTATGAAGCCAAGGCTTGTTCTTACGCACGCCGACGAGCCTGGCCAATGTTAGGTGGAGCCAAGAAGTAATGTACTATGTTTTATTCAACATGTGATGCCTTCCTTGTTCCTCATCTACAGTTCAATTGCAAGAATAATTTATTTTGGAGCATAATTGTGCTCCAATTGTGGAGTATAATTTATTGATTACTGTTTATCAGCAAGTACGGATGTGCAGCGTTATAATTCCTCCTGACAAATGTTCAACAGCAATCAACAAAATATTGACCTGCGTACGTACCTATAATCTAAATCCATCTTCGTTTCCATCCAACATTAATTAAGGCTATGGTAAAGCGTTAATCTACCAGGCATTTGAAATAACTTGCAAACCAACCATAATCACAAACCCATTTATGTTCTTCACTAAATACAATGAAAAAAACTTGTTACAAACCCTTCTCGTCCCACAGAAAGTGACAATAAATTAGACGACTATAATAATTGGTATTTCCGTGCATAAGAAATTTATTTCTCATAACCTAAATTAACATGGCTAAGAACTGGTTTTGTAAATTAACAAATATCTTTGATTTATTCATCCACGAAAAACGGAAATGAAAGGCCGGTTTTGCTGTTTCAAGCGCAGGCTTTATCTGTTAGGAAATCAATCGTGTACTGCTACTACAACTAAATCAACTCTGAAACTGCCACTGTGTTGGTGTAGCAACTCAATCAACCTAGAAACTGCCATTGTGTTGGTGCAGCAACTCAATCAACCTAGAAACTGTCACTGTGTTAGTGCAGCAACTCAATCCTGTCACTGCGTTGGTGCAGCAACTCAATCAACCTAGAAACTGCCACTGCGTTGGTGCAGCAACTCAATCAACCTAGAAACTGTCACTGTGTTAGTGCAGCAACTCAATCGGTCCAGAAACTGTCACTGCGTTGGTGCAGCAACTCAATCAACCTAGAAACTGCCACTGCGTTGGTGCAGCAACTCAATCGACCCTGAAACTGCCACAGTGTTGGTGCAGCAACTCAATCAACCTAGAAACTGCCACTGAGTTGGTGCAGCAAGTCAATCGGCCTTAACCACCAATATGTAGGTAACACTACCTAATCCGTTATCCATTATTGATCAGTCTACTCTTCGCAATGAGTTTACTGATGGGGGATGGATGGCCCTTTAATTGAAAGAACTTTTTATGTAACAACTGCCGATAGTGCTTAGCGTACGTTATCTAATTTTCGGGATGATTTGTTAATTATACGACACTAATCATCAGAAATAAATTATTAATGAGATTGTTCTGGTTCGCAGTTGTTATTGCTTGACAAAGTAATAGTATGCCACTGGATTTAAAGTTATGACTTTTATTAATTTTAGTTCCCCACAAACTTCATTTTCTTTGATGTACTTTAATGTCAAAAAGAAAACGTATTGCCGAGTTCCATATCATGCAGATATTTAATTCTACGGCTGAAAATCAGCCTTGAAAAACGGAAACAAAAAAAGAATCGATCCGACATTTTATGATATGTAAAACAAATATGAGTAATAACGGAGGGCGATTTGGGGTCTTCCTTTTGCAAAATAGAGAAATATACTTCAACGGAACAATACTAGAAATAGAGAGGTGCAGCAACTCAATCGGCCCCGAAACTGTTATTGTTGCGGGATAGCAACTTGATCAGTCCCTTAGCACCACCATTTAGGTTACACTACCTAATCTTTCGTGTATTATTGATCAGTCTTTGCACTGAGACTGAGTATACTGATGGGAATGGCCCTATAATTGAAAGAACTTTCGATACAACAACTGCCGGTCGTGCTTAGCGTAAGTTATCTAATTTTCTGGGTGATTTGTTATCTAATCATCAAAAATAAATTATTAATGAGATTGTTATGGTTCGCAGTTGTAATTGCTTGAAAAAGTACAATGGATGTCACTGGATTTAAAGTTATGACTATTTATAATTTGAGTACCCCACAAATGTCATTTTCTTTGATGCACTTTAATGTGAAAAAGAAAACGTATTGCCGAGTTCCATATCATGAAGATATTTAATTCTACTTTGAAGATCAAAGATTCGACCTTGATCAACTTTGAAAAACGCAAACCAGAAGAAATCGATCCGACATTTTATGATAAGCAAAACATATATGAGTAATAACGCCGAACGATTTAAGGTCTCCCTTTTGCAAAATTGAGCAAATGAAATATACTTCAACGGAACAAAAGAGATATTCTAAAATTCATAGTTTTGGCTCGCTGCTCTCTTCCCTTTACATAAATTGTTATATATTTGTAATATCTTTTGCAAAAGTAATAGAATATAGCCATAGGGCAATATCAGCAAGAAAACTGCTGCTAGAGTAGAAATGGAACATAAAATATTTTCCCCCTACAAGCTCTAAAAGTCGCACTTCCTTCCGCATTGAACTGAACGCACGTTGCAACCCTTCGGACGCAACCCTTGGCAAAAGATAGAGAAGACATTGTTATTCACTCTATTTTTAAGAATCATGGTGAGCACCACATGCCGTGAAGTTGAGTACCGCCTGCACTGAAGGTGAGTACCGCCTGCACTGAAGGTGAGTACCGCCTGCACTGAAGTTGAGTACCGCCTGCACTGAAGGTGAGTACCGCCTGCACTGAAGGTGAGTACCGCCTGCACTGAAGGTGAGTACCGCCTGCACTGAAGGTGAGTACCGCCTCCACTGAAGGTGAGTACCGCCTGCACTGAAGGTGAGTACCGCCTGCACTGAAGGTGAGTACCGCCTGCACTGAAGGTGAGTACCGCCTGCAGTGAAGGTGAGTACCGCCTGCAGTGAAGGTGAGTACCGCCTGCCTGTACCAGAAACCATCCTTTGGTGCTGCTCGCTCTTGCAGTTAAACATTTACCAATTTTTTATGCCATCAATGGCTGGAGTTTTAAATCTGTGAGCTTCTGTACATATTTAGTAATGAGCACGGAAGTATAGGTCATATATAACACATATGGTATATGATAAGATAAAAACTCGTTCGGTGTATGAGCCTTATTTGTGCCCGTGTTTAAACAATAAAAAATATAATGTGATAACCAACTTCATGGGAATTCGCCCTTGTCTGAAGATTAAATAGAAAAGTTCGTATTTGGCAGGTCTCATTAATTTCAGTAATAAGAGTGACAAGGCGCATATAACTAATTTATTTTTAATAGCACATATGAGTAGATATTTAATAGCACATAAGTTTTATATGAGCATATGAATTGAAGTTTACATTCATGACACAAAAATAGCTCAGTTATTCTAAAAGTATGAGATATATATTGGAAAATAGTAATCTCGCTTAAAAATACAAAATAATAATGATAATACCAATAATAATAATAGTAATTAATTTTATTATTGAGTCTAGCATTAAAGGGACTGTTGATAATTCTGTGGTAGCGTGCCATTTCGTTCAAATTTATTCTGGATTTTTGTGGCACCTGCAGAGGAAAGGTTCAGAAAATGTTCTACTGTATGGGAAATGTTCAATTTATGTGTTAATATTTGCTGTTAGTGTTCTACTGCAATATGATTTTAGATTAGTGCAAAATGAAAAATTCATCTTTAGCATAGGACATCATCACGACTAATTTTTTCATTACAGGGAATATCGTTAACTATCCTGGCGCTCCTGGGCTCCGATTTCTTGAGATCCGATTCAACTTCAAGCAACTTCATTTGATTTATGCTATATGTTATTCATGTTTTCAACGTTTTCGTTTTAACTATTGAATTTAAGAGGTAAAAAACTACATTATTTAAACCTCGGTGACTGATAGATGTCAAAGGTGATGCATCAGCATGACTATGGATGGTGCCTGAAGCGTGCTCCGAGAACATGTTACTTGCTTGGGGAACTAAGGGCATTCCACAAGGCAGATCGTGAGTCACCGGACGAGCTACAATGTGAACGATAAGCCTATGCCTCAGATAAGGTTCACGGGTATTGTCAGCTTGTCGTCCCGAACCTTCCCTTTATTATTATTTTCTATTCTACGAAGAGATTTGCATGGTGTTTGGTTTAACCGATATTTTTTTGCAGCTTAAGTATTGATAAAGCTTTGACTATGTTTGATGGTGAAAAAAATTATCTTTTAACCTTCTGTCTACTAAAAGCAACTTTACAGGGTATTTTCAAATAGCAAGATGCTATTAGCGCGTTGAATTGAATTTTCATGCACTCATAATACTTATTTGACTGTATAATTAGGTGGTCAATTAGATATTATAATATGCGAATTTCTGTTGAAGAATATGTTTCAAGATGTTAATTCCTCAGCACGGCCGAGAATACGGTACGGCACCTTCTTTTTTAATTAAAATAAAGCACGGCATCTTCTTTTCTAATTATTTATCGCATGCGACAGTATCAGGATTCCCATAGATCAAAACAAATGTATATTGCGACGCTAAATAATGACTCAATGAAACTTTAAAGGACAACCTTGGCATAGCAAATCGGATGTATGCTCTCTAATGTATAATCCCTAGCCANGCCAACTCTCCTCCATGTCAGTGCGCCGGAGGTGGCTACTGTGCAGCCAACTCTCCTCCATGTCAGTGCGCCGGTGGTGGCTACTGTGCAGCCAACTCTCCTCCATGTCAGGGCGCCGGAGATGGCTACTGTGCAGCCAACTATCCTCCATGTCAGGGCGCCGGAGGCGACTAGCGTGCAGCAAACTTTCCTCCATGTCAGTGTCCCGCAACATATAATGACAAACATATAGCCACAAACCATGAGTGCCGAAAGTGAGACATAAGCGAAGAAAGTTGAGCACCGTGCACGGCTATAAAGTATTTATTGCATTGCGAAAAGTGTAACTGTATGTTCTAGCCCTTGCCAAAACCTCCTCCAAATCCTCCAACGAAGACTGGGGCGTGATGCACGACGGGGACTGGGTGGACGACGGGGACTGGGTGCACGACGGGGACTGGGTGGAAGACGGGGACTGGGCGGACAATGGGGACCGGGTGGACAATAGGAACTGGGTGGACAATGGGGGCATGGTGGACAAGGAGGGGAGGACCATGCAGGAATGGACGACGGAAGCCCTTCCCCCCGGGGGAGGCGACGACGACGCTCGCCACGAGCAGCGATACGAACAAAGTCTGGGGAGGTAGAGGAAGATATATTTTAATTATTTTATTCTTACCTCATAATACGTAAGCTGTTTAATAAATCCTGTTACAGAAACTATTCTTAATACTGTTTGGTTTAAGGGCAAATTTCCAAAGTTTTTTGAATAACTTCTAATTGTGTCTCAAGTGAATGATAAAGTCGCTCGTTAATAATCATTCAAGCACGCGAGTATAATAATTCAACAAGAGAATCAGTAAAAAAATTGAAAGAGCTCAATTTTTCTGGTCTGATTCTCCCGACCTTCACGGCACACTGTTAGAAAAATTACCGTTAACGGTATTATACCGGCGTTTCAGTGGCCGGTCGGCACGTGAAAAAAACACCGTTTTGCCGTTTTTACTCTAATTTAACACTAGAAATCCGTAAAACATCTGATAAAAACGGTAAAACAGTTTATTTTCACGGGGCGACCGGCCACTAGAACGCCAGTGGGACCGTTTTTTCACCCTTTTTTCTAACAGTGCATAGAAAATGAGACTTGTCAGGTATTCAGTATAAAACAAACGTAAAACAAATTAGACCTAATTTTCTTATTAATCGAACATTGTACCCTTAATCGGCACTTACAAAAGTATGGAGCTAGATTTAGGCATTAAAGTTCCAAAGTTCACCCCACGTGATATGAAATGTATGGCTACAGAAGTCTCTTGAATGAAACCTGTACCATCATTAGCTTCATTGCCCAGATCATGATTGTTCTACACTCTAAAGTATAATTTGACTATAAATATTATAGACTATACCATGGTCTATACTGTATGTTCTATATATAGAATAGAATAGAAGTGTCGGCACTGAAGAAATAGGCCCAAATAAAACAGTTTGTAATCACAAACCGCATGTAAATTCCTAATAAACAATAATGTAATCAAACGTCGCCACTCACCAGCTTCATGGTAGGGTCAGGCAAAGGACGCAAGTGTGCACCGCAGCCTCGGCTCTCTCCTCTTATAGTCCCTCGCGCCAAGGAAGTCCGGGACCCCCGAGCTGTGTACCCTCGGCCGAGGGGCGCGTGCACGCGAGGGTCGTTGGTCTCTGGCGGACAAAAACTCAGCGCAGGCCAGGAAACGAATCTCGGGACTGCGTCCATGTAAATGTGCGAACCGCAAGGTGGATAAAAAATGAATTTGTGTACGATGCCACTTATACATTTATCGGGCGTAATAATGGATGTATTGTTGTATGAAAAACTGAGACAATACATCCATTATTGCGTATTAAAAACTCTTGTAAGGAAACGGTGTATTGTTGCACGAATGTATTGTTATTGGAAGAAACTATTTTTTGACTAATATATATCGTTGTGAGGGAACAATAGGTGTAAAATAATAGCGAAAACAGGGAGATAGTCAAGAATTACATTACGGATGATAGGCCACAGCTATATAATAGATTGGATTTAGTATAATCAAGCCTATAATTATTTATTTAACTTGCTGGGAGGAAGGTTTTTCAAAATGCAAGTTTTAAATTTTCTTCAAACAAAAGTCAGTTTGAACCAAATTTCCACCGTTCATTCGAACTGATATTACTGCTGAGTGACGTAACCTCATGGTGAATTGAAAGTCAATTATTGCATCGAAATCTACAAAATGAAAAGTCTTAAACAAATAATTTTTTCACACAAAATAATACCTTCTGAGAACATACGGTACCTCCTCAATGAAAAATTTCCAACCGATGTTCAGAACGAGGAATCTTTTATATCTTATGAATGTAGTTTCAGTTCAGCCAAATGCAAATATAGAGATAAGAAAACTTAGTCATATAGGCCTCGCTGCAGGCTAGATCATATTTTTTTCCACAAATTAAACTCCATCATGCAAGAACCTATATACTGCTGAAGGGCCGTTTGCACGACAGTATTGGACAAAATAGGAACTTTTGTTCATTGCATCGCACTCGAAAACATCATTTCAAAAAAAAAAAAAGATGTCAGCGCTTGAAGCAATTCAAGACACATGAGTTAAAGAATAAGATGCTTATGACGCATATATCAATACATTTCAGGTATCGGACATGAGCCAATATATATTTTCTTGTTCATTTAACGATAGGGTGCAATTGTTCAATTTGATCACTATTTAGGATGGCAATCATGGCACATTGATAATTTTTATTCATTTTGTTCAATAGTTGGTAGATAATTTTTTTAGTTGGTGGATTATATTCAAATAATGAAATACAATGGTCGCCAATACCTCACGACTCCCAATATATGATTAAATTAGATAGAACTCTTGTGGAAGAAATTTGTCAACATTCGGTATAAATAAAATCAATTTATATGAAATTAAATTAAAATAAAAGTGAAAAAAGCGTCGATATATACATTACGTAATTAATAACATGATATTCTTTCGTATATCCGAGATTTATTTCTCTGCTTTCGCATTATTTAGAAAAAGTATACATCTGTCAATGATTCATGCACCTTTACTATTGTCACTTAACTCCTGGAAGCCTACTGCCTTTCTTTCAAATTAAAACACTTCAATAACCAACATATCACCTCTTCATTAATTGCAAATAATCCACTTTCCTCTCACCCATTTAAGCTTTCTTCCTAACTACAACCTCTACATTACTTCGCTCAATTCATATAAAAATAAACAATATACTATACACAACTCACACGCTCCAAATATACGCTCAAATGCCACGTGTGAGAATGGCAGGTACGGATGGCATCCGCCCGAGTGGCAGTGACAGTTATAAGGAAGTCAAGTTCAATATAATGGCACACTGACCCATCCACGCAAGGCTGACTTCCATACAGGCATATCAACGCCACAACTGCGCTCTAGGTAGAATTGCGAAATGGGTAGAAATGCATATAAAATACATACACAATGGTTATCTTTGCGCTATGGATAGAAATGCACAATGGGTTGAAACGCATAATGGGTAGAAATGTACAATGAGTATATAAATATTAGAATAACAGATATATTCAATGTTCAAATAAGGGACATAAACGCCACATCTGCGCTTTAGGTAGAATTGCGAAATGGGTAGAAATGCATATAAAATAAAGACACAATGGGTAGAAATCGCTATATGGATGGATATGCACAATGGGTTGAAATACACAATGGTTATATATGCGCTGTGGATAGAAATGCACAATGGGTTGAAACGCAGAATGGCAGAAATATACAATGAGTATGTGAATATTAGAATAACAGATATATTCAATGTGCGCAATGGGTAGAAATGCACAATGGCTATTAATACGCCGTGGGTAATAATAAACAATGTGTAGCAATGCCCTATGAGTAGAAATACGGCAGGTGTTTCGGGCACTCATTCTTCAAGGAGATAGGAAGATGACTCCAAACATTTGTTACGTTGGGGATAAAATTCAGATTCATGTCTTATAAGGATTGATAGTAAAATAATAAATATATAAATAATAAAATAAATATTCAATCCATTGAGGATTGATAGTAAAATATTTGGTGAAGCATTAAACTACTCTTTTGACAACATTAAATGAAAATTTACTTGTCAGTAATCTTATTTATCGAATATTTATTTCGAACAAAATTTTCCAACTTGAATGTAATTAAAAACATGTTTATTTGTTATATAAACCATGACGTGCATAAATAAATACGCGTATGTCCTAGAAATATAAATAAATTAATATAAATAAATGTCCTAGAAATAGAAATAAATGATCCCAGAAGAACTGAAAAAAGTCACTTAATTCAGCGCAATGTCCTTCGCGCAACAAATTATCGCAATACATAAAGCCTGTCATCGCCATATAGGGCCCATGGTTGAATTAATACATTAATTCAACCATGTATAGGACCGACAATGCCGCATCGCAGCCCTTCGTCGAACGGCCTGATTAAATCCTGCTGTTTTCCGGTAGAAAAAGTAAGCTCTCGTACCAGTCTTTTTGGCAAAAAAATATATTGTTAGCTAAAGGTAACGAAATAATATTATTTATGATGCCGAAACATAATTGTCGATTGATTTTAATTGTGATGTTAAATACATAAAATTAGTTCAGTAACGGATCAGCGTAAAAATACATAATTAAAGGATGTGATGCGAGAGAAAAACATCTCTAGAAATATATTGAAACTGTGCCTATGATGTGAAACTGCTCGCCTATTAGAACCGACAGTCGAAAAATGGAGACTGACTTTTTTAATGTGTCCCAGCATGCATATTTTTTATTACATTGCACACTTTCCTCTTAATTGAACGTTTTTCTGGGAATTGAGATTTATGACGACATCCTAAATTACTACTAACATGGTGGTGAAATGCTGGAACATTTCCCAACAATCCTGGCGTGTCCTGTTGCAAAGATTTTTTATTAATATTTTATAACATGAGTTTATATCATATGAACATTTTTTTCTGCTCTTTATAATAAACGAAGCACAATATTTAAAAATGTCATTCCCGATGTTGGGTCTTTCCATCGGTCAGAGTTGGTCGAAAGAAAATGTTTATGTTATTTGTAGGTGCAAGTTACACGTTTTTTAATAATATTTCGATTCACTTAGTTTTTAAGATACACGTTCATGTGGAGTGATTATTTAATTCTATAAATGTGATTATTACCATAAAACAATGATCTGACGGCCATGGAGGCAGCAAGAGACTTAGCAGCAAATGTTCTTTTCATATTTCGTGTAAATGAAAACATCTCAAATAACTTTTCATGCTAAAACTAACTATAAGATGACGTATTTAAAAGAAATCTCACACAAATAATGTTTGTGTTGATATACTCTATAATTAATTTAATATAATTAATAATTTATTAGAAAACAAAGTCCGTGTCGCGTCGGCGATTGAGTCTATCCGAGTTTCTGAGAATTTTATTTTCAAAAAATTATACTCGTATTGAAATACAATTGTGCTCGATTTTTGTTTCCTTTAAAATAGTAAATATATTTTTACTCACCTCTACAAGGAAATTGATACTATTTTTTTGGCCATAAAATTTGTAAAAATTATGAAAAATATCTCTAGTTATAGATAAATATTTCATTATTGTACCTATTCAATTTAATTTCCGCGATTCAAGTTGCTGTAGAAAACAAAATCATATTGCAAACATTCCATCATTTTTTTGTCGCTGTAAGAGAAGCTTTTATATTAAAATTTCGGGTGATCTAAATATTGATTAATACAATTTTTATTTTATATGCGTGATTTTTTATCATGAATATTGTGCTAGAAAATACCTTCATTTATGCATGAGAAATTTATTGAAGAATTGTGCAGTCATATACAATTATGTGAGGAGTTTATTGCATGCGATAGACGTTGTAAACATTTTGCTAAAATTTCTGCCGTGAAAATTAATTGACAAATCTATAAGAAACCACAAATGCAATTGTTGTTCACACATGCTATATTATAATTAACTACGCCTAAGCTAAACAGAATACCATAACAAGAAATACCACGAAATTTTCGAAAATTCGAAGAAATGTTTTATATTAAAAAACGAATTTAATTGCGATTTACATGCTATTTTGTTAAATTAGGTTAACTAATGATATTAATACTTGAATACAAACAGGTGTGATATTTCGTTGTCAAGGTTAGCAAGTCAACCCTCTCGGGCACCTATCAGTCCCCGTATGTGACGCAATGAACGAGTCTCGCACCGTATCTGGAAGGAGCGGTGTCGTCAATGCGGAAATAGTTCGTCTTTTTAATATAAGGACCATTTTACCTGAATTATAACATAAAAACTCTGGTCGCTTAATCAATACATATTTAATAGGTTTTTTAAAAAGATAAATAAATTTAACCTAGATACGATAGTAGATTCTGCCGCTAGACTCTCCACTAGTTAAGTGAATTAGTATAGAGTTGATTATGTAATACAATCTTTTTCAAAATAGAAGAGCTCAGAGTGAGAACAGTCCTCACGCTACTATACATATTCGATATTGATGATTTTTTAAGCACATAATTAGTTTACAACCTCAAACTATATATCATAATTAGGTACAACCTCAAAATCATTTGAACAAAACTTCGAGTGTAACTAGTATTATACACTAGTCATTCACTGAAAACGAAATATATTGGTCAAAATATCGTTTCTTTCAATAACACTACATTCATACAACAATACATCGTTTGCTTCAACATTGCCTTCATTGTTATATACCACCCTATAAACGTACAAGTGACATCGTACACAAATTCAATTTTTTATCCACCTTGCGGTGTGCACATTTACATAGACGCAGTCCCGAAATTCGCTTCCTGGCCGTATAGAACATTGTTAATTTTTCTATTAATGCAGCAAAGTAATATAGACGCTGTAGTTAGGAAGAAAGCTTAAATGGGTGATAGGAAAGTGGATTACTTACAGTTACTGAAAAGGTGTATGTTGGTTATTGAAGTGTTTTAAATTTGAAAGAAAGGCAGTAGGCTTCCAGGAGTTAAGTGGCAATAATAAAGGTGAATCAGTGACAGATGTATCATTTGTCTAAATGATACGAAAGCAGAGAAATAAATCTCGGACACATGAAAGAAAAATGAATTATTAATTATTTAAATTATAGGTGTTCTATTAATTTGTTTTGTTTTTACCGAAAGTTAACGAAATTCATCTATGGAAGTTCTGTCTAATTGATTTATATATTATGAGGCGTGAAGTATTGAAGACTATATCGTACATAATTATCTCATTATAATTCACCAACTAAATAAATTATTCACCAACTATTGAAAAAACGAAATAAAAATTATCAATTTGCCTAAACGTCCAATTGGTCAAGTAGCGAGACTATCGTTATATGAACAAGAAAATATATATTAACTTACAGTCGACATATAAAATGTATTGGTACATGCGTCATACGCATATTATTCTTTAACATTTGTTCCAAGAGTTACATCGAACGCTGTTATACTTTTTAGCGCATTTTCTCATTTATGGAAAAATATGCACTATTGTTCTCGCCATGTCTGTCCATCTGTCCGTCTGTCTGTCCGTCCGTCCGTCTGTCTGTCCGTCCGTGACTTCACGTTTTCGTCGACGAGAAAATGCGCTCTCTGTCACTCACTGCAGTGAGTACTGAGTAATATTTTTTATTATTTCTCAGTTTCCAAGTCCCGATACAAAAATTGACTTTCAATTTACCATTAGGCTGCGTCACGCAGCAATGATATCAGTTGTTCCAAACAGTGGAAATCTTGTTCAAACTGGCTTTTGTTTGAAGAAAAATTAAAAATTGAATTTTGATAAACCTTCCTCCCAGCATAGCAATCTGAATAAATAAGTGTAGGCTTGATTATTTTAAATCCAGTCTAATATTTAGCTGTGACCTATCATCCGTTATGTAATTCTTGACTATCTCCCTGCTTTCGTTATTATTTTACATTGATTGTTCCCTCACAACGATATATATAAGTCAAAATATAGTTTCTTCCAATAGCAATACATTCATGCAACAATACAACGTTTCCTTACAACAGTTT